TCTAGAATGTATGGTGTACTATGGTGTTTACTGTTGTTACCATTTGAACATTTAGTTGCCATAAGTACTCAAACTGATCATCTTACATCAGCTGTTGTGCTTCCAGTAATAAATACTGATCTGGGCCCAACTGCATTTAGCAAACCATGGGACTTTGATCCATTTATTAAATGCATGTTTACTAAATAATATAAATATAGCTTTGTTGCTTTTAAGGTGAAGCATAAAACTCTGCTCCATTTGCTGTCAAGACAATATAAAGATCAAGCAGAAAACCGTTTTAGAAATGTGCCAATATATACTAACACTAACACACAACTTCCATACTTACAAATTACATATATGACGAACATTATAAATTCACATACTCTGAAAGAAAAAACAAAACACACTCCTTTACTACATGTGCTTAGTGCTTGGAAAACAAGTTCACCACACTTGTTTTCCATGTTTTATTCAGACTAGAATTTAGGTCAAATCCCAAAACCTTATTTACTGTACAATTATGTGATCATTTTGATCTAATTCTATACATGGAAACATTTTTACCTGTTGAATTTTTTTAGTGTAAATACAATGAGTTTAAAAACAAACAGTACATTTTTTTTCTCATTCAGTTCTGAGGACTAGGTCTGTCCTGTAGGCTGTTACAAAATTGTACATGTACAATTCATATATTACCACCATAAATTATATAGATTATTATATCACTGCCTTCATTTTAACCAAACACAATTGGTTGATACTTTGACTTATTATTCATATTCAGTTTATTCACTGCCTTAATAGGCAAGGTTATTCAAGTAGTTCTCTCTAAGCTTGGCCAGTTTTTTGAGTTTTGGCAGCTGGATTCAAGATCATATACCTGTATTTGTGTATCCGTCAATGCAGTTATCATTGAAGTCAGCTACATGTTGTCAGGTTACTTTCAGACTAATCTAGGTTGCTAACTATTGAGGGGTTAAAAGGACAATGAGCAGGTGAGATTTACTTTTTCTCTCCTCTGTCTCTGTCTTCACAGATGTGACCAGTGTGGCCGTTCTTACCGGCATGCCAGCTCACTCCTTAATCACAAAAACACCCACACTGTTGGCATCTACCATTGCGCTGTGTGCCTCAAGACCTATTCCAACCTGCTTGCACTCAAGAACCATCGTCGCATCCATTCTGAAACTCGACGGCACCGCTGTCCAGAATGTGGCAAGGCTTTCCGCGTCTCCTCCCAATTACAAAATCACCGCCGTGTGCACCAAAAAGAGCGGGAGTTTGCCTGCACTCTGTGCCAGCGGAGCTTCCCTAACCAGGCTAGCTTCCGGCTCCACTTGGAAATGCAACATGGCCGTGCCCCAAAAACATCGCAACAGCCTGGGGTTTCGTCCAGTGGCTCTGATGTAGGTTGGGGCTCTGGGCTTGACCTTACGCTGATGCAGGCCCAGGGACTGGATCCTAAGGGGCTCCCAAAGCTTAACCCATCACACCACGGCCCCAGTGGCAGCAGCTCATCTGGGAATCAACCACAGCAGCAACAGCAGAGTCGCAATGAGGTGGGGTGTAAGTCGCATGTTTGTGATCAGTGCGGCCGTGGTTACCGTCACGCCAGCTCACTTCTGAACCACAAGAACAGCCACAAGATGGGCACTTATTTCTGCAACTCCTGTCAGAAGGAATTCTCCAACCTGATGGCACTCAAAAACCACAGACGCATCCACACAGAACCCAAACGTTACCAGTGCCCGGACTGCGGCAAGGCTTTCCGTGTCTCCACCCAGCTCATCTGCCACCGCCGCATCCACACCAAGGAGAAGCCTTTCTCGTGTCAGCAGTGTGATAAGTGCTTCTCCAGCAAATCCAACTTAAGACACCATCAGAAGGTCCACTGGAACAGCTCGGCACCTTCTTCTAGTCTGAACATGGGCACCAACTTCTTGGGTATGCCGTCTGGGCCCTTTTTATAGTGATGGGAAATGGGGAAGCAGAACATGCGGTATTTTTTTTTTTTTACGGAGATTCATGCCAAGGCTTTTGGAGGTGCCAAAACCCCCATTCCTTTTATTCTCACTCCTCTCTAGTGGTTGAGGTGTGGCTGTGAGGCTTTTGTTGAACGGGTTGTTGTTTAGGTTAAGAGAACTGTCCCTGCATGTACCCTGAAACATTGGATTAAACAATGGACTTGTTACATCACGTAATGCCTGTTAGTTTTAGGTCATAGTGATATTTTCCCCACCCTTTCTCTCATCCTAAACACCACAGGTGACCTTACTTGCATTTTCATAGTTCCCTTTGGGGGTGGGGACATTGAAGGCCACTGCCTTCATTTCTGATACCAGCCTTTCGAAGAAGTGCAAACAAGCTGGTGTCTTGTTTTAATTCTGGAAACGAATTTCGGATGAGACATTTCCATATATATTGTGTATTAAACAGCACATTTCCCACCTTGGTACTGTTAGATCAGTATTGTTTTTGTGATGTCACAATGGGCAGGTTACATTATAGTGACTTTAGGTTCAAAATGGACACGTATCCCCAGGTTCAGGGTGACCGCTACAAGAAAAAAGCATTTGAAAATCATACATTTCATCCCATGCCCAGCTACCACTTTGATTGAGAGTCTTGAATGCATTCTCAATTTTTAATCCTAGACAATACAAATAAAACACGTTGACTGTCCGATGAATTCCTAGAAGTGTCAAGCAACTTGTATGTTTAACAAGTAGAAGTAACTATGTTTAACAGTGTATAGAGCGTATTTGAAACGTCTTCAGTTATTGGAGGCAACACATTTATGTGTTGTGTAGGACTGTCAAAGTTTTTTTTTGTATTCCTCCCCCTTTCTGTTGATGTTCTAACCTTTCTAACTTGTGTGGTCCTTGCAGCACGAAGATGAGCTTCAAAACGTATTATTCAGCAGATGACAGCATTGCGCTTATTGGGTTAATTTCTTAGTGGCATCATTCATTCATACCCCCTTTCATTTTATGATGTTGCTCAGAACCCATATTTTAAAACTGCAATTAACTTGCTAGTGTATAGAAACGATAGGTTGTGCTATGAAAAAAAAAATGAGAGAAAAGCGAAAGGGGGAAAAATGTATATTGATAGGCTTGTAATGGCATTTGGTTTTACCTTGTATTGTATTGTATCTCTGACTGTATTATTTACAGGAAAACTTTTATAAAAGATCACTGTAGTATGCATTTTATTTATATTAACACTTGTAACTGAAAACGCTAGTTTTAGAGCTCCCAGTTTTAGGATTTCTTGTTTCAACCCCTCCATTCTCCAGAGGCTATCGGACACGGAGTCAGGAATGACAGGACTCCTAAAGAACACTTGCTATAGTGACTGTAATCTCCTCTTTCGTTGCCATTATTTGTTATGCTTTTAAACGAATATTTCTGTCCCTTGTGCAATAAACAGGGAACTGTAATAATGTGTGTTTTGATTGCAGTACAATGAGTGTAAACTTATCACTGTGTTATCTCGCGTGATGTCGTGACTGTCTCCCCCCACGCTCATGTCAAGATTGGATGTGCCTATTTCACTCTTTAAGTTAACACGTTAAGGAATGATTTTGCGATCATTACAATCAGCAAGGCAATCTTATTTTAACACTTCAGTTATACATGTTAACCCATGTATTTATTTATAATAATTTTTTTATTTAATTGCATTTTACTATTTTGAGCTTGTTTTTAACCTATATTACCTGGGAGCACTGGTGCTAAGTTAATGTATTTTAAGTGAAAATGAAGTTGTATGTGCTATGATCAAAGCACGGGAAGATTATATATTTTGCAAATTTTACACAAGTGGACAATTAAAAAAGGAAAATCTTCCCAGGTGGACGGTTGCTACTTTGGCAAAGACTGATTCCAAATATAAATTATAAAATGTTTAATATTTTTTTCTTCCTTGTTTTATATATATATATATATAATATATATATATATATGTGTGTGTGACTACTTTTTTTTTTTAACTATATTTTGATAATTCATTTCCTAACAGAACATGTTTGAATTATAACCTCAATGCTCTCGAATAATAAAAATAAATAGCTGGAAGATTTATGTGTGAAAGTTTGCCACTCATGGTTGGTGTTCTGAAAGAGTCACCATCCACCATCTGGATCCAATATCACGGTGTCCCTGTTAAAGTCTGTTTATTATGAATGTTCCCATTCATGGATTTTGGGATGTTTAATGCACCTGAAAGCTGGGCTGTGGTCAGTGAAATCGTAACCGAGTAATCAAATAAGAACACCACAAATTCCTTATTGTTACTTGTAGTTAAAACCATATGATTTTGCTCCTGTTTTCCAGTACCCTGCCTCCTTGTTCAGACTCCTCACTAAGATGATCTCTTATATAATCTAGGTATCCTTCTTCCCACTTTTGATAAATACACAATTATATAATTTTTCTATGCACTATAATATTTATGTAATACTTTTACACTAATAAACTAAATTCTAAATAGTGACTTTTTTTTGTTGTCGTTTTAGTTACGTTTAACAGGTTTTTAAAAAATGTTATTGGGTGTTTTTCTCTATTTTTAAGATGGAGGAGTTTAGACAAGAAAGTGGGCATGAGGGGGGAGTGTAACTGGGACATGTCCTACGACGGACTGGAACCTACATCCTTGTGAGCAGACGGCTCTTACATGTCCTTGAACGTGTGCACAGCAGTTGTTTAATATAAATAGTACAAAAGAGTATGGCACTATTTATAGCTATCAGTCAGTCCAAAATCAGAACCAGAGCAGATCAAATCAAATCAAAGGAAATACAAAGACTTTAATTAAATAACAAAACAGGGAGGATAAACCCAACAACAGACCATTTAGTAAGTAACTCGTTAAATGGAACAATCAGCAGGTGTGTTTATATGGGCATTCATGAATCATGATGAGTAATGCAGAGAAAGACCAGGGAATTGCCACGCGTGACATCAGCGACTAGAAAAGCGCGCCATTCTAACTTACCTCAGTTATCGAGCAGCTGCAGATCACATAACCCGTATTTTGCAAAGGTAACGATTACAGTATTTTAAATATAAACTACCTTGGTCATATTAATTTACCATTTGAAAATGTAAGAATATCCTGACGCAAAGGTTCACTCCATAATTAAAATTATGTCGTTATACTCACCCTCATGTCGTTTAAAACATTTTGAGGAGTCTTCACTCCTTACTTTCCATAACGACAGTTTGTTGTGAGACAACTGTCAAACTCCCAAAATGACACCAAAGAGCACCGTACACGTTTCATAAAAGTACTCAATATGATTTAAGCATTGGATCTCAAATAATTTGTGTAAGGAACCGACTTAAACGAAGCAGTTATTTACTGATCATTTTGCCGTCGAACAGTAGCTCGCGTCAAGCGCGCGTTTGCGTCCAGAAATTACGCGTTGACGTCATTGACGTCGAAACGACCTCGGATCGGCTGAGGTGAATATAATCGGTGAGTAACTGCATAGACTGTTGTCTTTTCCCCACACAAATCTATTAAGATTGCTTCCTAATACGAGGAATACAACACACAAGTCACACTATCCTTATGAGTTAACGTTAAAGATCAGAAGATATTAGTATGCAGGTATACCGCTTATAGACGAAAGATGACAACACCTCATAATTGTGGTAGTACTGAGAATGTAGAAAAATACAATGTATGTGAATTTACCTGATTCTCAGGTGCTTTGTGTATGTGAAAATGTTGATTTGGAGGTCTTGGAGTGTCCACTAGATGGTGAAAGATCCTTTAGGTAAGTTTTCACCTTCAGGCATGCTTGTCTGTTTGGCAAATGCCCTGAAACCAGTTAAGCTATTTAGCAGCCTAGACATGTTTCATTCATTTAATTCCAATGCAATGCTTCAGTTGCTTGAGAGCTAGAGCAAGAATGATCTTAATTCAATTTCAAATTAGGCAATTCCACATAAGACCCATTCGGGTACAATGCATTAAAGTCCATAGTCTTTGAATGCATGCAATTTAATTGACAACTTATACTTGTTTTGAGGCTGTTAACTAAACGTTTTTGGTCCAAAATATGCCTGAAAAGTGTCATAGGGTGTGGAGTGAAAATGGAATGCATTATTCAGGGTGTAACTACATGTGTAATTCATGTTTGGTCTGAATTGAGAGTAATATGTCCAAATCTAGGCGTTAAAGATTAACATACAAAGCTTGTAGCTCAAACAGCGTGCAGAGGCTGAATTATTTTTAAAGGAAAATTTACAGACTGTTGCTTAGCAACTGGAAAACCAGCCCTTCATACCTGCCAAGTTTGGCAAGTTTTCACTGCAATGACTAAATTAATTAATTTAGAGTAATGATAAGCACTCGTTGGTCTTGCACAGCTCCCAGGGCATCTTCTGCTGCAATCAATAAAAACATAATTGAACAAAACCCCATTATCTTTCTAAATAACTTTATCTACTTTGCACAAAGGGGTCTGGGGTGAATGTGACTGCCTTAATAGTTAATTGAAAGTGTGTCCAACGCTTTACAGTGAATAAAACATCTTTAGCACAATTCGTTTTGGAATTAGTTTGCTAAATGACATTTGAGTTACAATTATCAGGAGGACATCTTATTTCATGAACCGATTCAGATGGAACTTCTGTCATTTTTGTTGTTATAAATAGACATTTACACAATTCACAAATTACAATATATATATTTTGTATATAATTAAGGTGAGGGTCAAACCTGATGCTGTTACAACAGTGGCCGTTCAGAGCAGTTTCCAGAATCAAAATCTCTTAATTGATTTAATTTAGTTTTTATGTCGGATGGAATGCCAGCAGGCAGCACTTGAAACTCCAACTGTTTATATTTTCACCTAGAAAGTTGGCAAAAACATCTAAATCCATAATAGTGATGCACCAGGCAGTTCAGTGTGCAAATTAGCTTGAAAACACTGTCAGTATACATGCTTGATGCATATACGAGCTTCCTTTTCAAATTATTGATGCCCCCACCCCCGCCCATGATTTGAGAAAGTAGTAAAAGTAGGGAAGACAACTACAGCAGTTGTACACTGGACAATCGTTTTTCTTTATTTTTTTTATTTCAGTTCATAATATCTGTTTGTTGGGGTTTTTCTTTTTTCATTTTAACTTAAAATTGACACACTTATAAAAGACAGCATCTGCATAGAGTTCTCATCTTAAAGATCCATGGAGAAAAGAGGGAAAGGGGGGGGGAGAGAGAGAGAGAGAGAGAGAGATTGTAAGAGAAGGGAGGAAGATAGCAAAGGGTTTTAGGGGAGGAGAGGGATACTGGTACGCCACACTAACCAAACAGATCAGCAAACAGTATTACGAGAGAGGGGGGAGAGAGGGACAGTTATGTTGTTTGTTTGTATCTTTTTCCTTTTTTTTTTACAATACAGTACACGCATACACACAAAATAAAAGACAGAATTTGCAGTTCCAGTCAAAGTTGCAGAAATTGATTTAATTTCTTCCTTCCCATCCTTGGTGCCCATCTCATTGTGGTTTCTGCCCTGATTGCACTTTCAACTTAGATCTTAGTTGGGCGAGAAGATGTTTGGCGACAAGTAAAACGACGGCTGGAACCAGGGTTAGTGGCTGTTGTTTCCCTCAACTCCCACAATAATATTGAAGACGGCATTCTTCAGTGCTTTCAAATGCATGTGTGAAAAAGCCCTTTTCTTTGTATTGCACAGATGAGTGTTTTTCTGTTTGCTTCGAGCACTATTGTTTTCCTTCTGTACTTTTAAAGAAAACGTCCAAATCCCAAGAACTGTGCTCTTTGTATAAGAGCAGAGCTCATCCCACGTTACATTTAACTAGCGCTTTTGAGTTTCAGCCATGCTACACTCTACACACGCAAGGTATTCTAACCGACACTGATTATGAAAGCATCCAAACATGTATCACGAAATGCACAAAAAATGGCACTAATTGTTCTCTAAGTTTGCCATTGCCAATGTGGTGGACCTCTGCAAAGAAAAGCGCTCAAGGTGCCTGGAAGCTACAGATGGTGTGCATTTGACCTGTAAACCTATCGATGGTGTACATGGAGGGAAGCACTTTTTTTCCGGTAACCGGTAATGGCTCTCTGAGGTAACACAACATATTGTATTGAATCTGATGGTAAAGCGTTGTTCCTTTTCTTCGTTATAGAGCACCCTTGACATCACTGAAAGCATTGGATGCTGCTTTAAGACAAGCAAGAGGTCGGTCGACAGCAAAGCGCTGCGACCAGGGCAAAGAACAAGAAAATCAATCAACCTCACAACTTTGACAGGAACTATTTTAGTAGTTTTATACATGGACATGCAAGTCATTTTTTCTCTCTTTGAAATATTTACAATAATTACAAGACAAAGATTCAGTTCAGATTGACAAAATCGCGAGCATTCAATAGTACTACTAATATAACACAACTTCTCGGGATTCTTTAAATCATCATAGTTATATAATTCATCACATTTGATAATGGTATAATTCAATTATGTCATCCTTATCCAGTCATCTTCCCGTTCTAATTAGAATAGTGTTTTCATCGCATCATTACAAGCCATTCTCCGTAATTGATGATCATTTAGCTGAAATCACAGTTTGAGCACCATCTCCACAAACCGTTTCCTCATTCTAAATCTAACACTGAAACAAGAATACTGGTATAAAGTTTAATGGGAATATACATCAAAGGAATGACACAAAAGGGGATGAAATTAAGGAGGATCATGGCTGGGGCTGTTGAGAAAAATCACGATCGCAGGTCTTGGGCGCTCATTAGCTGTGGACCGAGAAGTCGTATTGGTTAACATAAAAGTCTTTGAGAGCTGCTGAAGCACATGTAGAAACTAAGCAGCAAGCGTTACAATCCACAAAGCAGTCTACATGGCAGCAGACGGCTCCGTTGATCATGGCGGGAGCGTTCTAGCTTTGTCCCATCACCGCTCGCTTGCTGTGCGGATTGGGTGTAGGGGTTTTTTCTTCACCTGCAGTGATGAGGCACTCAACAACCCCAACCAAAAAGACTATGCAGTTAAGCTCTAAAAGATACATTGTTTTTTTTTAATATATAGTAGTTTGTAATTTTCACTCATTTACAAAATGCCTTCTCAATGTGCTGTGTTATGCCAGTGCTGTCTGGTCATATCAGTGTCTGTGTGATGAACATCAATAAACAGTGTTGAAAAATGAAATTAAGACAACTGAGGAAACTTTCATCCAGATCTGTGCCCGTGTTAGTATAGTTTATTTTTTTTATTTCATTTTCTTTTAACCAGAGCTGATCTAATGTCTACGTCTAATGTATTGCCAGCACAGAGGAAGCAATGCAAGTGAGTTGAACAAGGGGAAAATGGCAACATAAACAGCATCATTGAGGGGAAAAAGAAAAAAAACATCATAAGATACACACAACATTTGAACATCGTTGGGGGTATATTTGTTTTGTAGGTAGCTGTTTTTGGAGAAAGTGCTTTAAAACGAACAAGCTTGTATAGTATACATTATACACATTGTTCAGAATTAATATAAATAAATAAACCTTTATATTTAGAACCTTGTCGCTGAAAGCAGTGGAATTGAAGACATAGTAAATGTATTCGCAAGATAGTTCACAAGATTTAAGGGCAGGGTGGACTACACAATACAGTTGACTGTAACATTGTGCTCTGTACTCGCATAATGCTTTGGCTTTTTAGTCTTATTACTTTTCTTAACATTTGAATGAAGTCGGCACAGAACTGGAGCGCTAGAGCTGCATACCATAGACCTGCAGACCAGAGAAGCCCCTTGTGCCCGAGGCCGGTGCGACCGAGGGCTCCAACAGCAGACGAGCACACACACACACACACACGCAGAACCACACACACACAAATGCTCATGCTCACATATACAGCAACGTGTACGTAAAAAAGGAAAAAATGCCGAAGGGACAGGGCACGCATACATGGCCTTTTGAGTTGCACAATTCGACACCGCAGCACACGACTCACAATAAAGAATAGTCTTACGAAAGAATTCACATATCATCACCAGTTAAGCACAACAATCAAGTTCGGGAAAACATCAGGGGAAGGGAAAATGAACAAGATGCACAAAAATGATTCGTACCCAGAGTGTTTCCAGAGGGTGAGGAGGGGGGGAATACATCGTTTTACACTACGGACGTGGTTTGGGAACAAAATACCCGACAACAAACTGATTTTTGTATTCATGTGCACATCCACAGGGAACACATTCATGGGGACCACGGTAAAACTCCAGCATCGTCAGGGTCATGATGAAATAGGCAGCAGTACTATTAAATGAAGCCAAACCCCCCCCCCCCCCATCAAACCCTTAGAGAGTCATAATAAATAATTATAAATTTAAAAAAAAAACATTAACAAAACGGAAAAAGGTACAACCCAAAAAATGTGGCGGTATAAGACATTGTTTTCTTTGATTGTAAAGTGCACACATGATCGAGAGCCATGCAAACTAACAAAGCGAAAGTTGCATGCGTTAACAAATAAGGGCCTTCCAGCTATATCGTCTACTAAAAAACAACACCGACATACATATTTACCTCATTTTATCATACATGTAAGTGATTCGACACTAAATACACAGAAGTTTCAAAGAAAACATGCTGGACGTTCCTGGAATGATTAAAGTAAAATAGTCCCGGCCCTCTGCCTCAGGCTTTGTAAAAAGTGAACAGTATTTATCCCCCAAATCATTCTTGTTCCCTACTACTTTGCTTTGGGTAGGTAAAGGGGTGGCGGGATGGGGTGGGGGGGCTCCTGTTATATATTCTATGATAAGCAGTACATGGAAAATGAAGTCCGTATTGAGAAAAGGAGTGCACGTTCAGAGTTGGTACATGTCATGAATGTCATGAACATGAAGGTAAGGGCGTTCTAAGAGTGCGACAAATCTGAATAAAGCCGAGGGGGATTCTGTATAAAAAAAAAACAGAGCTAAAGTTTGGTTTTGAATTTTAGCCCTTGAATTTAAAACAAGAAGTACATAATTAACAATGCTGGCACTTTCTGTCTGCAAAGAAAAGGATGCAACGAATTCATGATACAACTGTTTGATTTGTGTTTCTGCGGGAAAAAAAAAAATCTTTGGACAAAATCTTATTCTAAGCTAGAGTTATCTTAGGATGCTGTCTCTCTTGGCGTTCAGAGCTAAATTTGAGTTATTTCATATAAAGTTGTGTAAATGTCTTCATTTTTAGTCGCTGCATAATAAGTGTCTTGACCAACCGTACAAGTTTCTTCAGTTGAACTGAAGAATGCATCTACAGGTAAATATTTCCTAAGATACGTCTGCACCGCACCTATTCCCATTTTTTCAGATATTTAGAATTTAAGAATAAGGATCTAAGAGTGTCTATCACTTCCCCGTAGTTCATTTTATTAGTCTCTCTTTATTAACTAGCACCAAGGTGAAACGTCAAGCAAACTCTCAAATCGATCCTTCAAAACCTAAACGGTCCTGTTCAAGCCCATTCTTTATATTATAATGTAAAATATATATGCAATTTATGAAACAAGGCAAATAAAAAAATTGCAAAACTAACGTAAAATAAGGAAAATGAATTTCAGCAGACCTAACCACCCTCCAAAAGATAATATTTAGGCTAGGCGTTACTTCAAGTATTGACATTTCCGTAAATGTTCCTTATAAGAAATCTTCGGCGTAGACAAAAATATTTAGTCTCTTTTGTCTTTTTCAGAATCTTTCCATAGGTTTTCATGAATTAATTAAAAAAGCAGGGGCAAATCACTATCAAAACTGCATAGTTCAACAGTTTGCACAATGCCACCCTTTCGATCCCAGTGTAGCTTTCCAAACGAGTTCAAATGAAATGTCCGTTCCTTCACTGCCTACAGCAAATGAAGTAAAAACAAAACCATTTCCATGTACAAACTTGGTGATATCACTTCCTCTCACAATTCGAAATGTGTGCTTCTTAGTTCTCTTAAACTTCATTTGTTTACGGTTGCCCCGCAGTAAAAGTATTAAGACAGAAATTCGGCTATGAGGTTGACGGTGCTTTAAAACTACAGCACTCCATCGGTAATGAGCTAATAATGTAACGATGAGAGATTTCATCTGAATGCAAGCAACCACTTGGAACGTTAGGCCATTGCAATCGGACTAGTACTACTATCTATAACATCTATGCAGTCAGTTGGTTAGTATTCGTAATGCTAGTATGGTTTGCCAAACACCATGTTCTGCCGGAACATAAAACAATTTAGCAGTTGCTGGCACTGTCCTGGAGGCCCCCCCAAAAATAAAAGCAATGCTAAAAAAATAAAACAAAAATTAATTTGTATTTCTTTTCAGGTAGTAACCCATGTGCTGCTTTATGTTCAATACATTTACATGTACAGTTTGTAAATATGATGTTTATTTGAACCCACTTTTGTATATATTTAAATCAGCTAGTACGTAACATCTCCTTGATTTATTTATTTTTTTGATTGTTTGATTTTTGAATATTCGATTTTAACCCTACCCAACCCCCGTTTTATGACAGTTTCCTTATTTCGTGTTTAAGTGGATAAAACACTCAGATTTCCAAGTGTTTGTCTCTCTTCATGTCGTTTAGAAGCCCAGGGTTCCTCCGATAGTGGACGCCAAAACCACTCCCAAAATTACACAGCAGATGATGATCATGATCTTCTTCTGCAGAGGACGAAAAAGGGCGAGAAGGAAAGAAAGAAAGATGTGTTAACATTGTTTAGCTCATCTATAGCAACTCTGTTGCGATAGTCAGCTAATCTATGTAGCATCACCTCATCTTAACCACACTTTAAATGAAACCATTAACAATTAAACCAAAGTAAATCATTAAATGAATTAAAAGTTCATTAAATTATTGATGAAAAGAACCACTCTGAGACGTTGCCCCTTTGAATACTAAATGTGTTCAAACATTGACTACATTTGAGAAGGTGGTGATTAGATATTGCATAACTGTAAAGGCTAAAAACAGTACATCATACTAAACTCTGGAATCTCCAAAAAAAGCAGTAACCATATTTACTGAATGTGATGAGATCATGGAGGGAAGCTGCAAATATTATATTGGGCCAAGAGACTTATGCCATACAGAATAAACTAAATGTAAATGCTTGGTTGGACATGCAGACAGAAAATCATGTTTTTTTCTGGTGACCATCTGTCGGACATTTAAATGGACCATGCAATGCTTGTTTTGTTTTTATGGGCCTATTTTTTGTAAAATAAAACTTTTTGAATTTTTATTCTGTGGCGGGGGGAAAAAAACAGAATTGCAAGAGATAAACACTGAATTAATTCTGAGAAAAACGTCAGAATTGCAAGATGTAAACTTGGAATTGCCAGAAAGATTGTATCTCTCAAATTATGACTTTTTCCTCATAATTGTAAAAAAACAAAGTCAAAATTGTGAGATATAAACTCAACTATGAAAAAAGTAAAAGAAAGTTACAATTACTTGTTTTATTTTGGAAAAGAGGCTTCTATAATTAACAATTCTAATCTGGCAACAGTTTACAATAAGGTTTCATTAGTTAAATTTAGTTATTAACACTAGATAAAATTATCTACCTATTAAGTGTCACCAGCAGTTCACTATTAGCAAATAACTTTGGGCCGGTAAAAAAGTAAACACCCCATTTCTGCAGTTTGACTCATCAGAAAGCATAGAAGTAGGTGGCATACCACCAAGAGTCTGCAGTCTTTAGACCACAACTGCAATGGCTGTAAGCCGGCAAAACTGCAGCAAAACATCTAGGAGCAGGCAGCCTCTGTTGAAGAACCAATGAGTGCCAAAGGAGCAATATAGTTTTTCTGTGGATGGTTTAGTAATGCATTCTCTAGACTGAGAGCATGAGTCATTGTACACAAAGGGCATAATACTGAAAGACATCAGGTGTAACAGCTGACGGTGTTTTACCTTGCGTGCCTGACTCTGGTATTTGACAGCCTTCTTGGTGTCAGAAACTGCTCTCTCTACATAGTCCACAGAGTGTTCCACATTATATTCGATTCTGTCAATCATCTCTCCCTGTGAATGACAAAAATAGACACTTCAAACAAATGTCTTCTCCACAATATCCTCATACACACACTTTTATGATCACTGTATGCAATGCACAAATCACAGAAGACAGTTCCCTGTTAGACACACTACTGTATGTCTCGTTTCAGTGTTGCAAGTTAAGATCCCTTATATTCTTTGTGCAGCCTGATTTCAAACCCCACAAATGGTGATGCTTAAGTCCCTTAACCCCGACTGATCCACAGGGACTGTGTTGTGTAAATAATTTCAGTCTTTGGTTGTGGAGGAAGAAATAAATTGGCATCTGTGAATTACATTTGAAAGTCAGCATCACTTTGGAGCGCAGTGCACTTTAAGGATGTGTCTAGTTTTTGTCTAGTCCATGTTCACAAACAGAATTTTTAAATATTTTTTTTGAGCCTGATAGATGAGGCTTTTATGAATAGTATGGAAACGAGCTGCATGAATATTCTTAAAAGTATTCTTTAAATTTGTTTTCAGTAATTGAAATAAAATAAATATAAAAATTAGATGAGAAACTTTAGAAAATTTTACAAAAAATAAAATGTTTTATTGAAATGTTTTAAAATAAGTTTAATTTGATGTACTAAAACTGAAATAATTTAATTAAATTAAAGCTAAGGAATAAAAAAACCCTAATAAAAATGACAGAAAATACAAAAAATAAATACTACTTTTATGTTCCACTAAAAAAAAAAAAGGTTTACAGTAACTAAAAGCAAAAAAAAATTGGATGAAACTTCAAGAAATTTAACTAATTGAACTAATTTCATTGGCAACATTTGAAATAATTTTATGTAAGTTTAATTTGTAGTACTAAAACTGAAATAAAAATGGAAGATAAGGGAAAAATAATAATACAATTGAGAAAAGTGCATAAATGACTAAAATTTCAAGAAAATTAAAATGAAAACTGAAATATAAAATTCAAAATATTAAATACTATAGTGATTACTGAACAATACTAAAAGCACTGCACACAGTGACATATGGGTCAGTAAATAATGACAGATTTTTTTTATTTTGGAACTATTTCTTTAGGTAAATTCTTCTGGTTTTGGCCATGATAATGTGAATATAAAAAGGGCAAAAATCTCAAATCGACTGTCATTTGTATGCAGGGGCACCGCTAGCAATGGCCCTATGAAAGAATATGAGGTTGGGCCCCCTACCGCACCAGACATACACTATATTGCCCAA